TCACTGGATAAGAGAGGCAACACTGCCTTCTGGGTATGTATCACCAGCTTGGTTAGAGATGTGGTTGTAACAAAAGCAGACCCATAGCTAGCAATTTCAAAAGAGTGGCTCTTTTACTGAAAAAGTGGACCTTTTGCCATGAAACCTTTGTGTACCTAGATCAAATTTTACCCAGAGGGGACCTTTTCCTGACAAAAAGGGGGGTTCTTTCAAGCCCCCCAAACCCTCCCTGGCTACAGGCCTGGAAAGGCTGATACAGGTATCTCCACAAACCTAAAAACACACCAGAGGATCAGAAGGGTGGAACACAAAGCTTTATTAATCACAAAAAGCCTATACTTAATCTGCTAACATCCCAATTCACTAAACCCAAAGTTGGTCATGTCACCATCGATTTTCTCACCTTCCCTTGTCAGTGGCCACCTTGGCAGGAGTGACCATATTGGCTTTGTTCCCCGTCCCCAGCTGTCCATAGGAGTTGGCGCCCCAGGCCCACAGCGTGCCCTCATCAGACAGTGCCAGGGAGTGCGCGTAACCGCACGTTATCTATAAGGGGAGTGCGTATGCATTTTAGGCCACATTCAGAATAGGGGACTAACAGATAGGCAGATAGCCATCTGTGGAGATTATGTGGTCAGATGGCAAGCACAGATTTTAAAATAATTGTGATAACGGCTGTTTTGGTGGTAAAAGAGAATTCATTATATTTCTATGAGTTGTTTAAAATGCATTTATTGTGAAATAAGAATCTCATACAAAGAGTTGCTATCCCTTAAAGATATATTTACCTTGGTGTAACTCTAATGTGTTCTGCTTACCTGGACGATAAAGATATATTTATAATAGAATAAAATAGATAAAAGAGAGATATACTAACCTGATTGATGAAGATCCCAGTGAGTCCAGCCACTCTACAGGGGTTGGGTTGGTTCACATTGTTCCCTAGTCCTAGCTGTCCATTACCATTATAACCCCAACCATATACCTGAACACAGAAACAAACACAGGGGTACAAGCACTGGTTTCATTAAAGTGTTACCTTTATGTGAAGGCCGACCTTAAAAGAAAGTCATTAATCTTAAACTGATACTCAATTTATATGCCCCAAATCCAGAAATATCGTAATAACTGCCACAGTCTTGCTAAGCTTAAATTCGGAGTTCTGTCTCACAAAAGAATATTTCTTAGGCCAAAAGTCTGTCTTAACTTATAGTTTAGTTAGACCAAAATTAAGGTTAACTTCCATTTTAAGATCTGGTAAAATACAGTATCCACATTTCAGTAGATTCAATTCACAATCCAGTATAATAAAGTTGGTTTAAGAAGTAGTCATTATTTTCTTTTTTTAATAACAACAGACAAGATATGACAGAGTAAGCACTGGTCTAAAACAATAGCCATACTCTCTGGTTATTAAAAAAGTTTTTAATTGGTGTTTACTCACATCTCCTGTGTCTAACAAGGCCATTGAAGATGTCTGTCCACATGCAATCTGAACTACGACTTTGGAACCTGGAATTTAAAATAAAAATTATTAAATTAATTGGCACACAAATATAGTTGGTTAACTTTTGAAAGCAGTTTCTATATGCAAATATTTGTTGATTTTCAAGTGCCTTAATGTTAAAATTGTACAAATATATATCTTCACTCTTGATATTTTTTTCAGTTTTCATTTAAGATGATTGCAAATCTGTGACTTTGGACTTTGTCCAAGAGAACGACAGAAGCCATGCATGCGAGGTCATAAGTATCCCATTTATTTCATTACAAAAAAAAAATCCTGACCTTCTCTCTACCTCACCAACTTTCCCCCACCAGTAAATCGGTGTTCGGGCATACGTAAAACATATGCATATATACATGCACACACACACACATTATATAATGTACATTCAATCACCCTCTGAGACACGCACATGCAAAAGACAAAAGTGCACGCACGCACGCACACACACACACACACACAGATATTACCTATACAGGCAGTGACCCTCCTGGGGGTGGGTTGGTTAGTGGTGGTGCCTGACCCAACCTGACCACAGTTGTTCTGACCCCAGGCAAACACCTGGAATGAAGTAGATCAAGACTATAAGACTTCCTATAGGGTAAATTCATACAAAATATCTATTTAAATCTCTCCCCCCCCCCAACACATACACATGCACGTGTGCGCAAACACCATGGAGCACTCACACATGCCTTGAATGAAGTATTTGAAGATTGCATAATTTCCAACAGAGATAATTCATCGAAATTAGATAATTCATCGAAATTATTTCTTTTTAAATTTTTTCCTGGTAGTACCTTACACAGCAATAATGGTTCAACTCTATTACTCACATGTGATTTAGGATTGTTGGGGAAAAAATAGGTAGAAATGACTGGGTGGCCTTAGGACTAGGGTCTTGGGGCCGCTTAACGATAGATCAAAACGGGAGAAAAAAAAAGCCAATTAAAAAAAAACTTGTCTGATCACAAAGAAATACCCCCCTCAGGGGCGGATTTAGGCCGTCTTCTGGGTCTTCCGGAAGACGGTCAGATTTTTAAGTTTACATTGACGGGTATCTAATTTTTTTCTGTCGGAAGACGGTCAAAAATGGGGGATGGCGCAACAAAGATAATTTGGAAGACTGTCAGAAAATATCTCTGGATCCGCCACTGCCCCTCAATATGAACACAAACCCCTGGGTCCCACCTCTCCCTCCAAGGTCCTGGCCAGTGAGTGATGACTACCACAGGCCACCTGGCAAATCTTCTTCCCTATCAGGTTAGTGGATATAAGCATGGGCACTGTGCCTTGGTTAGTACTGCCATTACCTAGCTGACAGTAGCCATTGTGACCCCAGCTGTACAGGTCTCCACCTAATAATAATAATAATTATTATTATAATAATAATAATAATTGTGACCCCCCAGCTTTACAGGTCTCAACCTAATAATAATAATAATAATAATAATAATAATAATAATAATAATAATAATAGTAATAACCATTGTAACCCCAGCTATACAGGTCTCCACCTATATAAAATGACATCATAACAGAATTAGAACTTAGTTCTTGTAATTATTTAATTATTATCAAATTACAAACAATCATTATTTATGATCGTAATTATTAATAACAGATTACTAATTTTTGCTTATTTGTTTTTTTTTTCTTCACACTTCTTTTACAATTTACCTGCAGTAATGGATAAGACATGTGGCCCGCTTCCATAAGCAAAGTCCACCACATTCTTTCTACACAGCTGTTCTACCTTCTTGGGTTCCATGCTGCTCTGTGAGTCACCTGTTACCATGGCAACATTGCACAGGGTAATTAAATGTTCTAGACCAAATATCTGATTTTTTTTACTTAGCCACATCAATTTTTTCAAGCCTTGCATGGGAAGCTAAATATCCTAAACATAACCAAATATTATAAAATGATTTTAATTAATCATAAAAAAATACTTTACATTCAACTGATATGTTAACTATTAATGTCAATTAACTGTTTTACATTTCCGGTAATGTTTGTGCCTTAAATGAAAATCTGGTATCAGATATCAAATAACAAATATGTATATTGCTACACACCTAACCCCAAACAGCCACAGCAATTCGATCCCAACGAATACACATCATCGTCCTTGGTCACCATCATGGCCTCATTTCCAGCACTTCCAAACACGCACGCCTGGACGATGCTATTCCTGAAGTCTGGGTCCAGCAGACTGAAGATCGGCCAACGATCCAGGTCCAGCGATGTCATATTGATGGGGGAGAGAAGTGGCACAGCCAGTGTGTTACATGTAAATTGCAAGTCCAGAGGGAGGTTAATGGAACAGCCCTGGTGGCACAGCAGCTGGCAGAGGGAGGTACATGCACCCAGGTCTTGGATGGATTGGACCAGTTAGGAATAGACACAGCCTGGGGGCAGCAGGCTGTACAGTTGACATGGGAGACACCTGAATAATAGACAGGGAAAACTAGTACTAGTACCCTCTACCAGGGCCACAGATTGATTTTTTTACTAGATATCCACAGATAATGTTTCTTGCTAAATATGGTCAATCTTCTAAGTGTGGCTGGTCGAAAATGTGCCTGTAATATCTGCCGCCCTGGTATAGGGTAGAAAACTAGTTATCTTAATTGCACCAGGAAAACTAACAATGAAGTTATCGTACTTGGTGGTTCCAACTATCCCTGCGTGGACTTTCGCTGAAAGCAATCATATTAACAGATTAAAATGCCTTTGCCTGGCATTGAGTTAAATACAGAAAAGCTGGTGATTTAACAAATACTACTAGTTGGAAACAAGTATAGAGGCGTGTTAATCTGATTAAATATGAACAATTTTCAACAAACTTTAATTTTTTTAATTTCTTTTTAATTGCAAATGCTTTAGGTGATCTTGGATGACCAAGACCAAGGAGTTGTTTTCTAAAGACAAACTCCCTACCATACCCTAACTTACGTTCCACATGTTTGGACCAATCAAAAAATTAAATCTGGTTAAATTATGTAAAGGCTGTAAAAATGAATGTTTATTTCTGCTTACATTGTTTTATTGTAGCATTTTGGGAGAAGATACCATACTCTACCAGAGATCAAACCAGGGATGCTTGCTCTTGAGAGGGCTCTACCGCTGAGGAATAAAGCCTTGGTCTACCCTGGCCAGCCACGTACTATTCTGCCAAATAGTGGAGAGTGTTTAAAGAGCGTAGGGAATACCCCCCCCCCCCCCCCCCCCTTAATCACCAGTCACCAAGATTAAAACAGCTCAATCACCAATCACCAAGAATTCCCGAAATATGTTTCACGCAGAATATTGGGCTCAAATAAGGCATCATGCTCGAAAAATAAGGCAAATCACAAGGAATGCAAAAGGTATTCCCTATACCCTCTTTAAAATGGTGAAATAATGGTTAATTCTTATGCTGGACGCCTGGTCATGTACTTCTGACTCTGTAGCTGTGGCTGGCATGTCTGAACGGAGAGGACACACGCGCAACCCATCATATTAACTTAAGGGCAAGAAGATACATTGTACTGGTAATATTTCATTCGAACTGTCTTTCAGAGTCCTATCACTCAGACAAAACTGTCATTCTTTGCACACATACGATCATGACCCGCAATCAATATGCATCAGAAGAGAACTTCTCTGAAGAGCTCTATTCCTTCATCAGATGCGAACTTTTCTCATCATGACCTTAACGCGGGCACCTTCTATACAGAATGTACCTATTCACTGTGTACAAAATGTACCTATTCACTGTCTCTCATGAGTCATATCGCAAAAATAATCTGACAGTCAGTTGAGTTGGTATACGCACAATAAAAACTTATTAGCGGTAATGCCATGCACTTACTCGAGTAAATATTCATATCTACCTTTAGTCATTTACACATACCTTCGCTGATGTAAATTAAACAGCGTGCTAATGCGCCGAAAAAGAAGTTTTCGATCAGTTTTCCTTTCTTTTTGTGCTTTTCTAATCTATCTGTTTTCGACTGTAGGTGTCGCACAAGAAAAGCCCTATTGTATTTTCCGAAGCAAGCTTTGCATTGAGCAGTGGTTGATTTAGTGGATTTAGTTATATCAGCAATTATTTTGTATGTACGTTAATAATTATCATGTTGTCGTTTTTTTATTTTTCTTTTATCTTTTGAAATATTTTTTAATTTCCTATTTTTCTAGAGATATTCGCAGGTTGTGTTACCCACACTCTTTTCCATAAGGCCACACTTTTTTATTTTTATGGATGACATCCTCTGGGGACCCCAAAATCGGTGCGAGCGGGCGAAAAAAAAAAACAGTCCAAAAAAAANTTTTTTTTTTTTTTTTTTTTTTGGAGAACGGACGAAAATCGGTGCGCGCGCAGGATGTCATCCATAAAAATAAAAAAGTGTGGCCTAAACTAAAACAAATATTGTCCATATCAGTTTTTTTTTAGCATGTGAAAAGCAAAGACACACACATAGTGGGTTTCTATCAATGGAGGACTAGGAAAGGAACACAACAGAAAATGCCGTATCTGATTAATTATAATTAGGATTCTGAACAATGTGAAAAATTGATTCCAAAATTCAGGTAATTTTCAATAATTTTCTCAGACGCAACATCGCATTTTCGAGACCAATTTTCCTTGCTGATTCATTAGAAATGATGTAGCCGCACGTTTTCCAGATTTTTAAAAATTCTTTTCAGCTGTCTTTTCTGTTTGTATGGAAATTCCATTGCTTTTTTTTTTTTTTTTTTTTTTTTTTTTTTTTGACACTTGTGGTTAGGCCTATCTATTATTTTTTACACTGCAAATGATCATAAAATGATTAATCCATAGGTTCATATGAAAAAAGAACATATCGCTAATTTGCTTTAATAAATTAAAAAAATACAAGTTTGGTAGATTCTACATTCAGGAGAACAATTCAACAATGACCTGGTAGGCCAGCTACGGTAGTACATAAAGACTTCCATTTTCATGTTCTTTGCGTCTTCGGTCATCCACTTTAACCGTGGATGTGCGATCGATAAAATCCATCTTCAAGATTAATGTCAATCAAATCACCCTTATCCTTGAAGGTACAAATATCAATCCACAACTGGCAGATAAAGGGTTTTAGTAAAGGGGGGGCATAGAATTTTCTAAGAAGCTTCCCTAATTCAGCAAGTGCAAATTAGTGGACGAGGACATTTTTACTTTTACATTTACCGGCGTGGCAGGAATGGTACATTGTAGTCCGCTAGGAGCCGCAGTTCGTTCCCCATTACTTTGTACAGGTGACATTCGTCCCACATACTAACCCCAATACTCCCAACTAACCCCAACCTGTGCTAATCATATGGGACCTCGGACTTCCATTCCTACGTCTACCATACACTGTACCTTTCATGCCGTTACGTTTGGCAAAGAGATTAAAAAAGTCATGATTTTGCCTCGTTTCGTTTGTTTGAATTTTTAGGGGTAGGGTTAGGGGGTGAGTGTTTTTTGAAACTAGGGGGCAGGGTGCACGTGACTCACCGTACCCTCCCATATAGATAAATAGATATCTGTTGATGCCCTGGGCAGAAAAACGTCCATTGCCTTAACTAACTGAGCAGTTAATGACAATTACCATGTATCAGGCATTTCTTACGTTTTCAGTCGATATTTGTGATAAGAAAAAAAAAAATACCGGCGATTTTGTTCGGCATCTTTAATAAAAGTTAAAACGGTTACATCTTTAACTGACAATTATAACAATGGGACACTATACTGTTATAGGTTCAAAATTGAATTTTTTATGAGTTATCTACTGTTTGTACTAAAAAATGGAACAGACGTAATCATGGAACGATCAAAGTAGATTTTTCAATAACGTTAATGGCAATTTTATCCACCCTCCCCCAGGTGTACTCTTGGCCTAGATAGCCACATCAATGCAGGCCGGCTCTATACCCTGTGTTTCAATACCCTCTACCAGGGCTTTACATATTGATTTTTCACAGATATATGTATCTAGATAAATAAACAGTCACTTTGGTCTGGGTCTTTTCCGTTTTTCCCTATACAATCTGCCACCCTGGTAGAGGGTAGTGTTTCAGATGGTAGTGTTATCTAACCTGCACTATTAGCATGCAAATGCCCAAGTCCCTTGTTTCCAGAAATAGTAATTAGAATAAAGTATATGCAACTTTGGTACGCAGGGCTAGGCCAGCGACACTTGAGAAAGTCTCAACCTCAGGGGCGGATCCAGAGAAATTTTCTGACAGTCTTCCAAATTATCTTTGTTGATTCGTCCTCGATTTTTGACCGTCTTCCGACAGAAAAAATTAGACACCCGTCAATGTAAACTTGAAAATCTGACCGTCTTCCAGAAGACCCAGAAGATCCGCCCCTGAACCTTGCAGAAAAAAGATGGAAATTCTATCTATCACAGAGTAAGCATCTTAATGGATTATCTTTGACAGTCAACTCGACAAATTAAGGTGCCTGAGCTGCGTAGCGGTGATTTTTTTTATGATTGTATGTCTCGTAAGATCAAGGTGGATGTCTTCATTCATTCGGAAAGATGTTGTAATGAAATGTCGCATATTTTAGCAAAAGTGATGTTTTTAATTAATGCCGAAAACTCCATGACTCTACCTTTCTTAGTTTTGTCACACCGTAAAAAGAATAAAATTTGAAGTTAAACAGGCTTTGCAGGTGATTGTGCAGAGGCAAGTTCCCTGGGCCCTCTGACAGCTCGGGTGATAGCGTGTTCAGCGTTGAATACAGTGATCAATGTCACACAAATAGTCCATTATTGTTATTAACTTAACACATATCACTTAAGTTTCATGTAAGAGGTCTATACTGCGCACGATATGGAGAACGCTAACTACATGTATCTGCTTGCTTAAATAATAAGCCATATTTGGTGTATTGCTCTACGATACACTATACTTGTACATTGTTATCTGGTCCTTTTAACATTATTAATGGACATAAAGATGTGCAAGCAATACGTGTGTTTATCGTCAAAATCGAGTGAATTTCTAATGAACAGCATCGCGATAAACGTTTTATTTTCTAATTGGATTGAATAGTAAATAAAAAAGACCATCAAATGTATAAATCGCGACTGCGACAAGTATTACAAGAAAGACCGGATAAAACATATTTTGAAAACGAAATAATTTCGCCAAAAATCGCCTAACTTAATCGTCTTTAAAACAGAAATGGTTTGGTTCAGGAAGTATTAATGGTAAAAAGAAATAACCGGAAGAGTTTTAGCTTGTAGCAATACTTAACATCAAAGGCAGATTGAAGAAATTTCAATGACAAATGGGCCAGTTAATGAATTTTCTGGTCAGGGAAAGAAAGCAATATCAAAGACTCTCGTCCGCGTCCATTACCATCCAGAAACAATGCAATAAAGTAGTTTTTGATAAAGAATGATATATGGGGGGCTGGAAAAGTTCATGGTCGCTTTGTTTCTTGGCTGTGATTTCTGAAGCAAATACGATTTAACTTAATCTTTGGGTGCAAACGTTCACAACGCCAAAAATAGCACGGATTATAAATATATCGATAGTCGTTGTGACAGCAACACCTTTAATTCTGTAGTTATGAAACGACGACACTGAACGCTGGATTATAGTCACACAATAAGCATTACACCCTTATATAAACAATTTTTAAATTTCTGGAAATTTCAACATATCTGCCTTAATTACCAGCGTATACCATATCCAAAACCGTTCATGTCACACCAATCAATAAAGCTATTTCATTTCTAAATTTCTAGTTCTTGCGTCGATCTCGTAATGTAAATAGAAAATGGTGAATTTTACTCGTGGCTGGAAAAATAAGAAACTCAAATCTCTCAAATTGATTTACAGACTATAATTTTCGGAACGGTTTCACATATGGTGTACTTTGGTGATATAGGAGTAATTGCTGAAATTTTTGGGAAAATCATTATTTTGCTATACCAACACGTAAAGCGCATTCACTGTATGCCTTTAAAAGATTGGCCTCACTCTGTTATCACAAAAACTACGGCGATGCAGCAAGTAGATTTATTTTCTTTCTTTAAGGCGTATACGAAAACGCTTTCCCGAACCAATTCAATAGTGGCCTAATAGAGTAATTTTGCCAGCGCTTAACGCATGGATCATTGAAAAACGGACGCTCTGTATTTTCGCCGGCGGTCAAATCGTACTCGCATTCGTAGGCCCAATTGGCGTTGTGTGGAAGTAAAATAATAGTTTTTTTATGGTAGTACCAACACAAGGTTTGAATCGCGATATAAAGGTTAAAGCACAGTAGTGTCAATCGTAATAAAGACAAGTTATAGAAAGAAATTTAAATTTTGCTCATTTCATGGAATGAATTTTACTTATGGAATTTGCAAATGTAATTGAGTCAAAGAGTGCAAGTAAGTGAATCAAATCAGAAATTACGAATAAATCTTTTGGAGAACATGTAACAAAAAGTGTTTATTTTCCTTTTCTTAAAGTGGTAAAACAACGGTACCATACATCTTTTTCCAAAACGCACACTGAATGTATACGCTCGGAAACATGTTTACTTGGACTATACATGTAGACAGGACACATCTTACCCTGAACTTAAGTTTCAAGAGCCATTGGAAACTTGCCTCAATATCACAAACTATGGCTATAGAAGAAGTTCCGGTAATCTCTTCATTTAATAACATTAATAAAAATAGCAATAAAAACTGAGAACAATATCATTTAATAATAACCTTGGCATAAAGACGTTCTTCATGCTTTCTTTGATTTATAGCATGTTACCTGCGGCCATCCACTTCAACCTTGAATGCGCGATCGATCAAATTATATATTGACAGACGTGTCTTTTATTCGGTGTTATCTCGTTTCACTAGTTATATTGTTTACTTTGGAAAGAAAAATGACACGTGACCCACTGTGCCCCTTCCCATGATCCACCGTTGTGAAAAGGGGGCATGCGCAATGAAATCGATTTCTTTGAACAAAGCGGACACTT